CAAATATGCACTTCGACAATTGTAACTAAATATTGTCTCATGTATGTTGAATCAGCCAAGGTAAGGTAAAGAATATGAAAGTGATATGGAGTGATATGAGTATGAATTATGTAGAGCCTGTCTTCCCAAATGAGAGCCAATAGAATATTATGAGCATATTATTACACTATCCATCTAGAGACCAGGACTTGAATTCATGTTGTTACTACATGCAGCATATTATCTAATACCACCAGTTAAGACTAGCATTCCAACGCTAGACAGGTATTAGTTTCCTCTGCTATTTTTGAATCTAATATCTCTAAGGTAGCTTAGAGAAGTAAGTACTTAAAAATCCCAACCCCATTATTTGTGGATTAATATCCAGGGCTAATGTAGCCACACTCCTAGAACTGTATGTGTTCCTGTCTTCTAATCCTTTCAGCCCAAGTATAGTAAAAAAAGCTTGGCACCCACACCCAGGTACAACACACTACCACGTGTTATTATCTACTGTTTCAGGTACCCATGGGGATCATACTATATATTCATTTGACATGTCCAGAATAGGCCTGGGTAACAACGGAAAAATTTGTTTCTAAAATCGATTTGTATTTGGGGGGTTTTTTTGTTTCGATATTTAAAATAATTACAAAATTTTCCTTTTAAAAAGTTTGATATTTACGAAATTTCGTAAATGGTAAAAAATTAACGAATCGATTTCCGAAACAATATCGAATCGATTCGTTAATGGCGGACGCGACCGCGAAATACGCTAAAAAACCTCCAAAACCTTCTGAAGCTTCCCTCTCCCTCTGTTGTTGACTGTTGGTGTGATATTATAATTTTTTTTCACTAATTAAACCATAAAACTGGCCCAGACATGCGGAAATAATAACGAAACGACCTCAAAACAATAACGAAACGAATACAATATCGAAATACGAAGCATTTGCAAAACGTTTTTGAAAATTCGTTTTTTTTAATAATTGCTCCAGAATGGTTCGTTATCGTTTTGTAATTGAAAAAATTAACGAATTATTAACGAATTACGAATTAACGAAACGAAACCGCCCAGCCCTAGTCCAGAAGTCATGCCCAATAGCAAATACTTGCTGCATCTCTTACTTTGCAATGGGCCTTATGTCAGACTTAGGAATTAAACAATACACCTTGTATTACTTAGTGTATTATATACAGACTTTTTCATTAGAACTAGGAATGGTCCCATGGCTACAATTCCATAATTGCTGGAATCTAGAACAGCAGAAATTGAGGGGGGGGGGGAATAGGGAAAGTCATATCTATGTGTTGTAGCTTAGCTAGCTGTATTCATTATAGCAGCTTCCTGTGCTAAGTGATGAACTACTGTGCTGTTGGAAAGGTGGCATTTTTACTGGTCAGCTTGATACTTTAACTGAAAGAATGACTATAAAGTAACAGCTAACAATTGGGGCAGAGTATGAGCAATACGTTAAATGGCCCATATAGAATACATATCAACAAAGCTGGAGATGAAACTTATCAAACTTCTGATAAAAGCAAGGGATATACAGGTTGAAATCTGAAAAACTCCAAAATCCAAAACTGTCCATAAAGGTAGCTGAGATAGTGATAATGACATGTTTGCTTTCTGATAGTTCAGTATATACAAACTTTGTTTCATGCACAAAAGTATTAACAATACTATAAATAACTACTTTCAAGCTATGCATACAAAGTGCATATGAAAGAGATGAATTCCAAAATATCAGGGGGGACAGGGTGTCAAAATCCAAAACACTTGGATTCAACCAGAAGAAATGACCAGCTTGTATTCCTATTCACTCCTTTCTATGTATGAGGGTGGGTCAAAAAGTAATACTGCCATTGCTCTAAATTTCTTTCTTTCACAGTGACTGGACTATCTATGCATGATATGATAGAGGTAACCTTACTCTACATATATAATCTTTTCTTTTTTCCAATTGGCTGATTTGAATTATGAATCTGAAGCTAAAAGAGTCATCATTGCATTTCTGGCAAAAGAAGGTTGTGCACCTAAGAAAATCCATCACTGCTTGAAGAATGTTTATGATTTGGCCCCTTCTGACTTTAAACCTGTTGGACCTCTGAAAGACAACTACATGGTTTCAGATTCAATGACTTGAATGATGTTAAAACAGCTTTAAAATAATGGGTCATGAAGCTAAACCCTGAATTTTTCCAAAATGGATTTGATATCTGGGTGAAATGATAGAACAAATGTGTAAAAATTGATGGTGACTATGTTGAATGGTAGTTTTGAGTAGACAACAGTCCAGGCTATGCTCTATAGCAACTTACGACAAAGGAGGCAAAACTTTTTGACCTACGCTCTTATTAAACATTGATTTTAGGATCTGATATTGCATAATTCAGGACATGGATATAAGTTTTATTTTGTGTTTGTAGAATTATTCTAGTGCAGCTGTGACCATCTTTTTTTGTTTACAAGATACTCATATAATGGGAGGCACAGCAAAAGTTCTGCTGCTTTCCCTTTAAATGTTTGCTCTGATTAATTCACTAAAGCATTCTATTATATGATTGCCACAGGCCATGCTAATTTTTAGCTTAATAATGTTCCTTCCTTGTACTAGCTAGTGCTTTGCATAATATTTCCAGCCCTATTCCCACAGAGGGTGACAGCCATAATTTGGTTTTTGTGGCATTTTATATGATAGAGGTGAAAGATGTTCAACTGTAGCATGGAACTGAACAGAAGGCCGGCTAGAAGTGTTGGCTTTTTGACAGCAAAAATGCAGCATAAGAACAATCTGTTTTATATCCACAGCTTTTTGCTGGAAGTGAGTTGAATGAACCTTGCTGTATACTCACTGAATGAAACTAAAAATGTGTGTGTGTGCACTGTAGACATGTGCATTGACTGTACTCTGTACCCTTTGCACCTTGAAACACCGGAGTCTATTAAGCTGCTGGCTTTGTTAGAAATCAATATTGGGATCCAGGTTTGAGCAAATAGCAGGAGCAGTCAAAAATATTGTTGAAGTGAAAGCAATATGACACCAAGCTTCTGGCAAAATGCAGACCTCTCTGGAGGGGTCAGACATTGTACAGAATAACTAGGAAACTGGTACTTCAGAGGATCAACTATTTGGTCTTTATAGGGGCGGGAAGACCAGGCCATTAAAGACACAGAAAATGTCACCTTTCTTACTGTCAAAAATGCTCAACAAAGGAAGGATTTCTGAGATATTTGTAGCAGGGACTTCAGAGCCAGGTTACAGATGTTCTTGATTATCGCAGAAAGTGTCATCCCTGCTATAGGCTTCCTTCACTTTTATCTGAACATTTTAGGAAAAGAATCTTCCATGGCTGTCATGTCATAGATTTTCCCTATTTGTGAATGTGACTTCAAGTTACTTGTTACCTAATGCCAACCTTGTAAATTTCCTAGGATTTTCTTAGGCAGGAAATAGTCAAAGGTGATTTTGCCAGTTCCTTCCTCTGAAATGTAGCCTACAGAACCTGATACTTACTGATGTTAATAAGTCCCATCCAAGTGCTAACAAGGACCAACCTTGCTTAATTTCCAAAAACATATATCCCTATAAATTGTCACAAATCACCTCTCATATTTCCCATCCTATGTATGTGTGCATGTATGTATGTGTTTTCAGGCTTTTTTGGAGAAAGGAGAAATACTCTAATTACCTCTGGAGGTTGAGTTCATTAGTAACAGAGACCCTTTCTTCCTTCTTTAACTCATTATTTTGTGCTACAGTTATTCCATGATATTGTGCATGCATAGAAGGTAAACATGACAAAATGAATTTTTTTTGTTGGAGGGAGGGGGGTATCTGAAAAATTCATTTGGAAGATAAGCACAACCAAATAAATGAATAGTAGGAAAAATATGCAAAATGGTACTCTATTTCTAAGAGTGTAAGAAAAAAGATCTGAAATTTTGCAGAAAAACGGGAAGAATATTGATGTTATTACAGCTTCTCTTAGATGTAAATTGCAGGAAGTTGAGGAAGTATCAGGGTGCTCGAGAGGTGATTGATAACAAATGGTAGGACATGCATAAGACTTCACAAGTAAGTAAAATACCACCAATGTTATTGCGATTGTAAAGTAATATCTAGGGTAATTTTAGAAGATAATCCTTAGCAGTGCTGTTTAATGGACATGATACAGCCACACAAAACTTATAATGGATATTCTACATGGAATGGAACATAGAAGCAAGCATTGGGCTCACAGGCTCTATGGATATATGGCGCATATACGTTTTGTATGAATCTAGACATTCCTGTGTAACTAATGCTAGGTGTCATCCATGCAAACCTTTAATCTCTCTATTTCCTAAACAAGATCATCGTTATATTTATGCTGGATACATCTGACAAGATATTGTGTTATGGTAGTAGAGAAGGAGATGCTAAAGCCTGAAATTATTTCGTCATCTTGTCACAGTCATATCAAAGCTGGGTGAAAGGTCCCCTTCTGTTTTTTAAATTGCTTTGCATTGCATTAGTTAATTATGATTTTATACAGGGTTTTTTTTAGTTTTAGAAACATTTATATTACACATGCATGTGCACGCATGCCCTCATACACTACAGATTCTGTTGAAGGACAGGTTTCCTGAGTTCTTGCAAAATGTTCTCCACAATCCTATTTCTATAACAGTGTGAGCCTATTACTTCTTGCTGATCATTCCAACTCACAATTGTTTCTCTATAATATTTAATGAGCTCTGATATCCTAAGTAGAAATCACTCATTTGTGTATAATGATGGCTTTGACTTGCATAATGAGTCCTGATGAAGAATACACTGGCTTGAAATGGGGTGGGAGGGAGAATAATACACTTTATACAACGAAACAGCTAAATGAGGGTTTAACAACAATCATTTTCAGTATTTTACACAATGCATCAATCAACAGCACACATTTTTACAACATTTATCACATGGATATAACAAATACATCTGGTTTTATTTTGAATTTGAATTATGTATGATTTAACTTACTCTTGGGGAATCTTGGTGGATTGTCATTGACGTCTGTGAGAGTGATGTTCACGGTAGTAGTCCCCGCCAATCCTCCAAGCTGTCCTCCCATATCCTTGGCTTGAATGAGAACCTGATATTGTTCTTTGACTTCTCTGTCCATGTTTGGCAAGGCTGTTCTTATAACACCTTTAAAGAGAAACAAAATATACTTATATGATGTTAATGTAGATTTATGAGACAGAATTTCATATAGTTTCAAAGTCTTCAGCATCTAGTGACTTCCAAATATGTTGGACTTGGGGATGGAAACAATATTCAAAAGAGGATAGATAGTCAAAAGAAGGATTAGGGAAATACTCAGAAGGGGAAAAAAATCGAAAACACCTGTTTTCCTCCCAAGCTTTCAGATAGATTGAGATACTATTCCAGTCTCTCCTCTAGTAACCAACTTATTTCCTGTCATGGTAATTTACTGGCTGAGAGGTCAAGTGGGCAATGGAGCACACAATGACTCTAATTTTGAAGACCTTGGGACATTCTTGGAGGATGAATGCATTGCCATGCATAGGATGTCAGAATGTAGACAATGGTCACACCTATGGGCCATTAACAGGACAGCAATAATAAAACAAACACAAATTTGGGTTATGTAATAGTAAAAACTACACAACTACATTCTATGTACTACTAGAGAACTACAACTAAATACTAGGCTTGGGCGGTTTCGTTTGTTAATTTCGTAATTCGTTATTAATTCATATTTAAATTAGCTTACGATCCAATATTGAGCCATGCAGGAATAGTGTGAGGAGTAAATTAGATTCGAAACAATTTTTTCAATTTATTTTGTAATTATTTTGTAATATTTCGTAATTATTTTGTAATTATTTCGTAATTATTTTGTAATTATTTCGTAATTATTTTCGCATGTCTGGTGCAAGTTTTATAGTTGTTTGTTTTATCACACCAACAGTCAACAACAGAGGGAGAGGGAAGCTTCAGAAGTTCCCCCTGTCCCATTTGGAGTTTTTTTAGCATATTGCGCAATCGCGTCCGCCATTAACGAATCGATTCATAATTATACGAAATTTCGTATATTTCGAAATTTTTAAAAGGAAAATTTCGGAATTATTAAAAAAAACGAAATGCAAGGGCCCCCTAAAAACAAAACGAGTTTAGAACCAATTTTTTCCGTGGTTACCCAAGCCTACTAAATACCTATTAAAATTAACACAACATTAAACTAACAAACAAAAAAGGTGTAACTACAAAATGCACACTCAATATCTCCCCTTAAAGATATTATATAGTCACACTGGACTTCTGCAAGCTGGTCATTTGGGGAAGGATAAGGAGCACAATATTGAGGAGGCTGTGGGTGAAGGGATTGTGTATTTTTAAATACACTTTAAATTGTATTTATTATATTTGAACTATATTTTAACCTAACACTCACAGCACTATTTAATTTTGGGGTTTTTTTTTTGTTATTGGTTTATTTTCACTTTGTTTAAAATTGATCAGTGTGTATTATTAACTATGTTGAATCCCCTTGGGAGAAAGGTGGGGTATAAATAAAGTAAATCATCATCACCATCACCACCATCATCAAATGCCCTCATTGTTGTGGAAAAAACAAAATAACTAAATACTAAACTTTCTTAAAGTTGGTCAAAGATTTTCCTCAATCAGCAGAGTCAGTTTGTCTGTCTCAGCTAGTTCACAAATCTTCATCAGCTATTTCACTTGTTTTGGGATAATTGGTTCCTTCCATCTCTGGGCTTCAACAATTCTTGCTGCAGTTATCATTTGCGGAGTTATTTTTTAAGTTTATATCTGGCTCAAAATGGTAAGTAAAACTTGATAATTTGATAACTCATTACATTTAGTGTAATTGTGCTATGTTGCCATCGTGAAATATACTGCTCTGAAATTAGATCCATCATTTTGAAGCACTTTGTATTTTCTATGCAAAAAGTATCACAACCTTGACTATACTTATTTATTATATCAAAAAAACATAATGTTGTTTTAAATATGGTTCAGTTCTTACTAATGTTACTATATACAAAAGAAAATTCTGATCTCCCACTAAAGAATCAACTTATTGTTATGATTAGTTTTCCTTAAAAAAGAATAACAAGTGAATAATAGTGTCTGAAAGCACTTTCATTCAATGTTTCTTTTTCTTTTTGTTCCCATTTAAAAAGCTTAATAAAATGAGAAGCAGCCTCTTCAAGAGCAGGTGTTCATGTGCCCTGCCAGAAGTACTTAACCAGAACAAATAACCCCGAAGAAAAAGAGGAATCATTAAGCGTTATTTTTTATCTTCACCCTGTCAAAGTGTATGAGACACATATATAAAAGCTTCATCCATAGAGATTTTGAAATAAAACCAAAACCTGAACCTTAGAATCTAGAATGTACAGACAGTAAACAAGCAAACATGAGTCATGTTATCATGAACATGATAGGACTGTTAAGAATGCTATTCTAGACTGTGCCATTATAATGTCTAGATCAAGAAAAGTAAAAGTAACACTTTATTCTATTTTGGCCATACCTCAACTGGATTTCACTTTAAGATGGTAATGATGGGAATGTGTACCAAGACTGGTCTAGATGCATTGTTATTGGGGTCCATAGTGTTCTCTGGATGTGAGTGAACTACAACTCCTATCTTCCTGGTCAGTCTGCCCTCCCCCCCCCCCACACACAATGCTGTAATTTTAAGATGGTCATGCTGATATGTCTGTCAAGTTTGGTCTAGATCCATCATCAGTAATATTGACATGGTTCTCTTATCATCCTCTGCAAATCACCCTGAAACCCTTAACCCCACCAATATTTTAAGATCAAGATGGATGTGAGTACAAATTTATTTATTTATTATTTACAACATTTAAATTCCTCCTTTCTCACCCTGCAGGGGACTCAGGGTGGATTACAATGTACATATACATGGCAAACATTCAATGCCATAGACACACAACATATATAGACAGACACTCAGAGGCTATTTAACATTCCAGCTTCTGGCCACCAGGGGAGCTGTCACTTCCTCATTCTTTGCATACTTCCTGGTGATTTTTATGGCTTCGTAAATCAGTTAAATTAGCCTCCCCACAAATTTTCCTACTTGACAGATGCAACTGTCTTTCGGGCTGCAAAGGTCGACAACAAGCTACACAATTTTTGTTGGGAGCTCACTCCGACCCAGGTAGGTTTCAAACTCATGAACTTTCGGTCAGTAGTGATCTTAATGCAGCTGACTCCCAGCCAGCTGCGCCACAGTCCCAGTGTGGCTCAACTCCATCACACAGACCTCTGGATGTTGGCAGACTATCAATCTCCCCTCAAACTCTATCAACATTTTTAGTAGTTCATGACAGGTGCCAAATTTAATCCAGAGCCATCATCGCTGGCCATGATGAGGTTCTCTGGATGTGAGCACCATTCTCAAAAACAGATTAATGCATACATACAAACATTAATTCATACATATTTTCACTTTTATTTATATAGATAAATGACATGGGGGAGAAAATTGAGGCCCAAGACATGGAGGAGACAACTGAGGCCACAAGCTATTAGGAGTCTGTCCAGATCTATAAGCATCCTGAGGTGGATTCTATTAATCAATATCTCACTCCTTAATCGATATCTCATTCCTAAAACCCAGCAGAAGCATAGACAAGTCCTCTACTACCGAATCATAATTTCCCCAGCGATAATACAAAATGAGGCCAAGTATGTGCCTGGCATCATAAGTAAGGCCAGATACCAATTGCAATAAACCCACTGTTTTGATGACAGATATGAAATTATGAGCCATTCCCTACTGGACAGCCTCAGCCTGGAAATTGAAGTTCCCTAGGACCAGGGGTTCTCAAACAAGGGCTCTGAGGATGATAGTGAGGGGCTCCATGGTGCCATGCTGCTTCCCGCTACCTCCTCAGAAATGCAGGGAAATTAAAATTCTGAGCTGCTGAAAATAGAAGCAGAAGCAGCGTACTCCTGGGGCATATACCATTTCTTTCTCCACCCCTCTCTGCCCAGACTCTCCCTTTCATTGCTTCCAAGGCCCTACCGTTGTTGTTGTTGCTGTTGTTGTTATTGATATTACTACTACCACTTCTACAAAGGCTGGATGGCCATCTGTTGGGGGTACTTTGATTGTGTTTCCCCTTCATGGCTTAAGGGGATTGGACTGGATGGCCTCTGAGGTTTCTACTATTTTATTGTTGTTGTTGTTGTTGTTGTTGTTATTATTATTATTATTACAAAGGTTGAGTAACCATCTGTTAGAGGTGCTTTGATTGTGTTTTTTTCTGCATGGCAGAAGAGGGTTGAACAGGATAGCTCCTGAGGTCTTCCACTGAAATACTGTTAAGGTTATGTTGCTTAAAATTGTTCTTCATTTTAAATATGGTATTGGTGTTTCTTTCCAACCCCTCTTTTTTGTTTTTGTTTTTTTTTTCTAATGTGTGAAGCAGTTCACACAAACATTCTCCATACATCTGCCACTGGCCCGGTTAATGTTTGATAATATAATATAATAATATAATATAATATAATATAATATAATATAATATAATATAATATAAAAATGTATTTAGTTTTTATGAGAAACTTTTACTTCAAAAAAAGCTCCACGGCTGAAATAGTTTGAGAACCCCTGCCCTAGACTATGATCCAGTTGTACTCCAATATAATCCTGAGACCATTTCAGAAAGCTCAGGAAATCTAAGTGGGGAGTAAACCTCTAAATTCATCCCAACCAACCATCTTCAGGTACATAATTCAAACCCAAATACTGGAGGATAGAATACTTGGTCAGTGGAATAGAATCCTGGAAGACCACTCCAATACCCACACCCTGTCCATCAAATCTAGCTTGCTTTTGTACAAAGAACTGTGTTGGACAAAGTTAAAAGTGGTTAACTCTTCTAGCCTCATTCAGCAATGTGATAAATGATAAACTGGATTAGTTGGTATCATGTTAAAGACTAAATACTTAATTATTTCCTCATTCCTCCAGCTAAGAGATTGGGAGAAAGACAGTGAGGCAGAGGGGGAAATCCTCTGAGAGATTGGTGGTATGGTAAGGAAAGAAAACGGGAAAACCTGCTGAGAGATCGGAAGTAATGCAGCAAAGGAAAGGAGAAACTAGCCGAGAGATTGGGAGTTAAACAGTAGAATGAAAAGGGAAAGGAGCTGAGAGATCTGGGTGAAGCTTTATGGCTCCTCGCTTGCTCCCTGCTGGCTTCCCTCCCACTCTCTCAGCCACTGCTGTCACTCTTGATCCTCTTTTAAGAACAACAAGGACTGTGGATCTGAGATGCTGGCAATTCTAAGAAGCACTCCAATTTTTAGCCTTGATGGTTTTGAGGAAAAGTGTGCCTTAGAATCGGTGAAATACAGTAATAAAAACACACACACACACACTACACTTTCATGCCTTTGCATTGTCAGCAAGATCTAATTAAAGAATAACATTGAAAGAAGGTGGTTTTTAACTCTTAGCCACTGGTGGTGGGGAAAATCATTCTAATGTCAAAAAAGAGCTACTGATTCACACATATGATGTGATCTTTTGTTAAAAATAGGGTGATTTTGACAAAGGACATGACCTCAAGAGAGCCCGTGCTGACAGTATTATGTTGTTTCCACCTTTATTCATTGATTAGCCAGGAAGTGAGGTCCTTTAATACTCCATTTGACATTCAAGCAGTGACTTGCTGGGGGAAAAGAATTCCATTTGCAAAAGGGTGGCTGTCAGACAGCTCTTCCTATATTGCATTCAAGACACACAATTGACAGCATTTAGTGTGGAACATTTTGGTTAAGTCATTGAATTATTAAAAACAGAAGCAAGAATGGCATTTCAGAATACAGAATGGACAAAGTCTGTAATTATCGTAACTGACTGTACTCTTGTCCCAAGAGCATTTCTGGCTGTTTATGAATCATTTTCCCACTGTATGCACACAACTACTGAGCTCCAAATAGCAGTCTGGTATTGATAATTACTTCCTGCCCTCCGATCTTACTGTTTTACCTAAACAAGTGAATGTGTGAAACTGGGTGTAACATGGTTGGGATATTTCAACATAAATAAAATTTCATATGCAAATCTAGTTGCACAGCATACATTCTAAAAGTCCCAAATGATTCTTGTGCATTTTATTCAATTCAGACTTTTGCACAATTTCTACCCTTTAATAATCTGTCTGAAGAAAAGATTGCATCTATTTAATAAATTAAAAATGCAGTAAAATTAGAACATTATCATGTTCTCCTCCAGTGTGAACATACAAAAATAGCCCCAAATCCATGCAAATGAACCTACTCCCAATGTTTTGAGACTAATGAGTCAACCTCAGCATTAACTACACTAAGAAATCACCATTTTCATAACTGCTTCTCTCTCTCTCTCTCTCTCTCTCTCTCTCTCCCTGTCTCTGAAATGTCATAACTGACTCCCCAGGTTAATATATTAGAGATAGTATTTAAAAAATATATCCTGTATATCAGATGAAAGTATTTGCTCAGGGAATCCTTTTCTAGGCATTTGGGGAACAGATAACAAGAAGAAATGAATCTGTTTTCCCCTATGAAACCCACAAGAAATTACACATGTTTAGGATTTCAACTGGAATAATCAGAGTCTCCAACAAATAATTGCCATCTCTTATTTGCTATAAAGCAGCTGTCAGTGATATACAGAGTGTTCCATTCAATTGGTCAAGTTAATAAATTAATTTGGGACCATTAATCAGAATTCCACGGGTACTGTTCAGACTGGCAAATTATTTGTGCAATGTATCACTCATGTGACATTCAGCCGTTGCAACACCCCATTCCTCAAAATGTATTGAGGTAGGAGTTGGCTTTTTATTATTTATGTTTTTATATTGGATCATTTAAAGTGGGGTTAAAATTATCACAACTGTGCTACAACCACCTGGGAGTAATTTCCATGGTTTCCCATATGGAACAGTGCCTGTAGGCAGAGTAAGTCAGTACTCACACTAATGCAAAAAGGGGGCTACCTGCTGCTTTTCCATCTGCAAGCATCACATTTATAAATGTCACTTCCTTTTCTCTGATCAGACGAAGATTGTCCAGGTGGGTATCTAATCAGCTTGATATTTGAAAAAGTGGAAAGCAATAACATTCTCACTGACAATATGTTCATTACCTGTCTTGGGATCAATGGAGAAATATGGCTGTCCCTGAAGAATACTGTAAACCACTCTGGCACTGTTTCCATATGTTGGGTCATCAGCATCTGTTGCTTTGACCTGCAGCACATATGCCCCTAAGAGAAGATTAGATACAGAAAAACAAAACAGCTGAATTTAGCATAATATATATTTATTGTCTATTGTATAACTTCATTCTTGCATGTCTAATTTTCTTTTAGATAAAGTATAATGTATTGATTATAACCAGTCTACTTTTTTGTCATTGAAAATCTCAAGGTGACAAACATACTTTTAACAACAAGGCGTGGGCTCCATGATTTCCCCCCTCCACTCTCTCAACTAAGAAACAAAATGACCAATTGTTGGTGGATAATGAAGGCACAGGATCCACATGGATCAATGATGTCTGCTTAGAATGCAGCTCATTATAATTTCTTGATATTCCTTACTTTGGGATAAGGTTGGTAAATTTGTGATCCTCCAGAAGTTATTGAATTAAAATTCCCACCAACCAAAAACAATTGACTCCAAGGGCTATATTGGTATTGCTGCCTGATAATATTTGCAGCTGGCACAGCATTGTTTTGGGGGTTAGAATATGCTAAGCATAAGCTACTTTATAGCCACATGATTTCTTTCTCAGCAATACTGTGCTAAATATCAAAACAAAGGGCCAGTATTTGACTTATTTCAGGTCATTTGCATGCCCTTTGTGGGATTGGCTTTAAATTGAATGTTCTTAAGATGAACCAAGTTCTTCACCCAAAAAGTTCTTCATCATCTCATTCTGATGCAATTTAAGTCTCAAAGTTGCTACCAACAACAGCCCTTCTCATCTCCTCACAATCTTTGTTTAGGTGGAAGAGTTGGATTATTTGGGATTGATATCATGATGCAATGGGACAGCTCCCAATTTCAATTGAACAAATTTACAAGAGAATGGTTCAAGAGACTAAATGCAACATCTAGAATATGAATTTGAACCCAGCTCTCACATGCTCATGACACCACACTGTTAACAAATGGGGAAACCTTGTGATCAGTTATTTTGGGTGCAGTGTAAGAAGAGATATTCAGGACCTCTGACATTGTTCACTTGTACATCTTTGGCACCTTCCTACTATAAAATGAGAGCAACTCTGTATTAAGTGCCTTTTTCAAATGTGAAAATCTGAGGATCCCTCCCTCTCTTTCTCTCTCTCAAGTGATTGCTCTAAAAATGTAATACTTGCAACAGTAATATTGCCAAATATAGCAATCTGTCACCTTTTCTAAAAAATGACCTATCCTTATTTCTCTATTCCAGCAAAATCAATCACCATTCATTTGCCTTGCCCTCACCTTTTCTTTGCCTCTTTTCCCTCTTGAACGTATGACAGAAGAGATTTAGGCTTTACTGCATTGGAATTCACATCAGGAAGGCTTTAGAGACTCCAAATGCATTTTCCTGACCTGTCACTGGCAGTTTTAGTGAAGGCTTATAACTGTGAGAGTATATGGGACATACATAAAAAGATATGTGCTGACACTGCCTATGGTTGTATATGTGTGTGTGTGTAGAAGGAACTATTACCAGCAATACATTCAGAAGATTTACTTCTAAAGCTTGATTTCAATGAGTAATGTGAGGAAGAAGGAGTTGACCTAGGGAGGACCTTTGTTTCTTAATATTACATTTGTGCCTGGACTGCCCCTGGTAATCTATGTTTGCATTCTCCATCAATTTTTCAGCTGTTAAAAATGGAGGGACATCCTCATTTGTTGTTCTGCAGTCTTGAAAGTGTAGTGAATATATATCTCCTCTTACCTTCATGTGTCAGTCTTTACATAAATCGCACAGCCATTCTTCACTATAATTGATGAAGAATGGCAGGTTAAGATATTACATGCATAGATATTTTATATATGCTAAAGTAAAATACTTGAGGTGGGCTGAGGCCTTTTTCTGTATACATCCATTTAGCAGTTAAATGCATGTTTGGAAGCACACATATATAAAAAGCCAGTGAGAATATTTGAAAATCAGTAGTGAAAATATAAATGGTGAGAATAGTGAGAATATAAATGGAAATGCCAAATACAAACTTCCTATTCTGTGTAAAGTCTCCCCTTAATACAAATCCAGCTCCTATTCCATGCAAAAGCAATCTGTTATGAAAATCAGATAAGAACAGATGAAGACTGTAGGCTGGATGTGGAAATAGTATCTGACCATAGGCCAGAAGTTCTCCATTCCATGTGTAATAATACTGAACTAAATGGATCCATACATCACAAGTCAGTTTCTCTCTATGCTTCCTAACACTAAAGATCTAAATATACAAATAAAAATTTGTTTGCCTTCAGTTGCTTACAGTGTTAGGCATAATTACTGAAATGTAGTTCCCACTGAGTAAAATGGAACATGCTCTTTAAGTAGGGACAAATAGATATGATTTTTTCCGAAACCTTGTGGATTAAATGACATCTTTCCACAGAGACAGTGACACAAGTTTTGAAATAAGCCTTGAATGTTCTTATCAGGTTTTGTGACTCATTAATCTAGCCAAGGAGTTAGTTTATGGGATACAGGGGATGGCTAGTGCACAATAGTTAGCCAAAATGTTCACTATCAGTCTAGATTGTTATACCAGCAATGCTCCTTCTGGCAAGCATATCCAGATGACTTTTTCATTTTAAAATATGAATTTTGTTTTTAGCATTTGTTGTTTTATATGCATACTCTTTTAACTAGCATTGCATGTCCATTGGGTTGTTCTGCTCTATTCTGATGTTGTTCCCCATCTTGAGCCATAAGGATTGGTAAGAACTTATGGGGCATAATCACCATCTTGAATTTTGCTGAGAAACATACAAGCATGCCCTGGAGTGTTGTAATAAAGTGGTTGTATGCTCCCTGGACCAAACCAACCACATTATCACACCAGGACTTTAAAGTAGGCATCCCCACATTTCCGCTGCCTGCAGGATTCTGGGAAATGTAGTTTGGGGTGGGCCTTTTTGAATTGTAAGCTACAGAGGTCCTCATGTTCCCAAACAACATTTCCTAGAATTCTGCAGGTGGCAGAAATGTGGGGCTTCCCACTTGAAAGCCCTGGCATAATGTAGCAAGTTAATAATCTGACATCAGTTGTTTGCATCAGTGAATGTTTCTGAACCTTCTTCAAATGCAGCCCAATATCTTATAGTGATGCAAATAGGATGGGCCTGATAGATGTATGGCCATGGACAAGCCAGGTGCTTCTAGGAATTTATACAGTTGTCACACAAGTTTTAATTGTCTAAAGCAGCAGTTCTCAAACAGTACTCCACAGAGCTCTTAGGGCTCCGCGAAGGACAGTCAGGGGCTCCATGGGGCCCCTGCCGCCCTGCTCCTCATGCATATGAAGAATGTGGCCTGTGGAGCACCCCACTGCTGCTATGCAGCCTACGGGGCCTCCCCAAAGCAAGTGGTCTGGGGAGCCCCACTGCTTCTGTCACCATGGCCTGTAAAAAACAAAGTACAATCAAGTACTGAATGTCTTCCTAATCTTTGGTTTGGATTGCTACAAAAATAAAACTGCTTATATGACTATGCAATTTCTTCTATCTTTTCATACTGTTTTCCTTCAAAATGCAAATCAATACCAGGAAGATCAGATGAATCTTCTTGCAAGGCCTCCTTTGTGTGACAGAATGGGGTAGGACTGGATGGCCCCTGGGGTTGCACTTGCTATTGTTTTTGTTGTTGTTATTGTTATTATTGTTGTTGCTATTACTACTACTACTACTACTACTACTTCTACAAAGGGTAGGTGGATATCTGTTTGGTTGCTTTTCATTGTGCTTTTCCTGCATGGCAGAAGAAATTTGGGCTGGATGGCCACTGGGGTGGCTATTCTTATTATTTCAAAGGCTGGATGCCCATCTTTTGGAGGGTGCTTTACTCTGGAAGTAGCCAGTGTGATAGAGTCGGGCCCTGGGGGGGGCGGGCAAGCTGAGCAAATGTAACATCCACACACAGATAGCTGCCGTCAAGCAGGTTTTCACGATAAAAACTAGGTTAGTATACTTATCCAGGATCAAGTCTTATCCAGGATCAAGTCCAGGATAGAGGCTGCTGTTTCATTCACTGCCTTGGAATTCACCTCAGTGACAAGAAACACCTACTCACAGTTTAATCTAATATAACAACTGTGATCATACCTAGAAATTGATAGGCTGGCCACACTTGATTGACCCTTTTTACAAATCAGCCCTATCCAAGGCATTCCCTTTGCTTTATAGTATCCTATGCAGGTCAGGATTAGCTTACTTAAGAAACTGCCTTCTCCCATAAAAAAAACTTTCCTGGACCTTACATTCTTAAGGGAGCTGCTGTGCTTATTGTACATCAGCTTAACTGGACCCATTTGACTATGATACAGATAAATATTTCTGTGTTGTGGTTCCCACCATCTACAACAGTCTTATCATTAAAATTAAGTGGGTGTCAATGTTGGATGTTCATTATTTAGGCATAATTTGTTGGCAGACATAATAGCAACTTTTCAGACCTGTCAGCTGTTAATCCTAGAAGTCCCACCAGCACACTTCACAGTCTTTATTTATTTATTTAGCAATCAATTTTATATACCACCACTCCCCGAAGGCCCAGAGTGGTTTACACTATACATATATGATACATTACATTTAAAATCAAAAAAAATTTTTGATCAGCAAGATTTAAATGCCAGCCTAAATAAGTAAGTTTTACAAGCTCTACGAAAAGATAGTAAGTCTCGGAAAGCTCGTGTTTCCACTGGCAAGGCATTCCACAGGTAAGGAACCACCACCGTGAATGCTCTACGCCTAGTAGACATCAGGTGAAAGGTCCTAAAATTGGGAACTTCAAGGAGATTCTGATCATCTGAATGGAGTGATCTCGGGGGTTGGTAGGGGGTGAGGCGGTCCCTCAGGTACTCCGGCCCCAGGCCATATAAGGCCTTAAAGGTAAGAATCAGCACTTTGAAGGTAATCCGATGTTCAATCAGCAACCAGTGCAGTTACTGCAAGATTGGAGTGATATGACATCTCGCTGGGACCCCTGCAAGAAGCCGGGCAGCAGCATTATGCACTAGTTTAAGTTTCCAGA